TTAGCTCTGTTTGAGTCTGGAAAAGAACAATTTGCTTTTGAAATACAATCTGCTTTTGAAATAGTTTTGTTTTTTTTTTTTAAAAAAGGCTACTTTGTGATGGTAACAGAAGAGTTGTCACCATTTTATAACGATAGAAACAAAGAAGAAAATGGAATATAAAAATAATAGTATCTCAGTGCTACTTCAGCATGTAGTAAATATTTACTAAATAACTTTTCACTTGGATTGTGATTTTGGAGACAGTTTTATTCCAGGTCCATCTCAATGGAACTAACATTGGTGAATCATTCTCTTCTAAAAGAACTGTTCAATAGACATGGAAGCTGATGGCAATGTAGTGAATTTCTTATATGATGCTTTTTGTTAACGTTAATGTGTATGGGTTCTGCTGAGAATATGGATTTAAGGTGTATAATGCCTGTAGAAACACATGAGCTTCATTACGACAGTGAGTGCAGTGGGTAAAGTTGAACTTCTGTCTGTAATCTATCAAAGAACATATACCAAAAAAGTTTAACAGCTAAGTATTTATTACAGGAGAGAATATGGATTATTCTGCAACAGAGGGAATGGTGGAAGTTTATATTTAAAGTATTTCAAAATTGCATATTTAGACAAGTTTGAGGTGCAGATTGAACAGTTACGATAGAAAGCATAAAGTATTTTCACTCAGCAACTCTATGGATATCTTTAATGATGGAGTGCTTATTTTAAATGTGCGACACTAAAGTGTTGAAAAATATTAATTTTGGAATACTAATTAACCTGTTCATAAGTATGAAAATATGTCTTTTTAATGATGAAAAAAGTGGAGGGAGATAATAAAATAATTTCCTACTAAACAGCAACATTACCTTTTGAATCTTAATAATTTCAAGGTGAGCTACTTTCGGAATGGAAAGCTTTGCACTGCAATTCATGACAGAAACATGATGGATTGCAACAGGCCTTCAGTTTTGAATTTTGTCCTATTAAAAAGCAATTTACTTAGAATAGATTGCAGGTCCAGGCTGCAGTCATTAAGCTACCACAGCCAAACTGAGATAACAGTCTTGAGCAACACTGTACTGTTGCACTTGGCCAATCAAGACTGTCAAGTTTTAGTGTCTTATACCTTACATAGACTACTGGCATTATTTTTGATTCCGTCTTTGTTGATATTTAACTTGATGTCCTGACATATTTTCCCTGATATTTCTTTTTTAATAGTTTGCAATGCTTTGCTTTTCTATTTTGAGAGACTGAGAGGGCACTACTATGTTTTCAATACTAACTTGAAGTGAAGGTTGTTCCTCACACCAGAAACTTCTTGATTTCATTAAGAAGCCACTCTACAACTTAATTTCTCAACTTGTAAACAGAATATAATAAAGTTTATATGCCTAATGCATGGAAATGTAATCAACAGACTGAAAGTGCACTTTACATTTTAAAATTGTGAAAACTCTAGAACAAAAATGTGGAGTGGTGTTTAAATGTCATTAAAATACTATTTAAATGATAGTGAAAAAAAAAGTAGGTCCTTTTCTGCTCCTTTAGTAGAAATACATCATATTCATTTTGTAATCTTGGTAATTAAGTGTAATGGTTATTTTTTTCTCCAGTAGTTGAAAACTGAAGAATGCAGAGCATTCAGAACGTTCTTCAGTGAAAGTCTGTCAATTTATTCTTACAGTCTGCATTATATGTAGCAAAATAAGCCATAGGCGTGAAACAACTTTAGTAAACAATCTTAATTTATAGCCATATAGCTTAAGAAAAAATGATTTTTATTTTTTGTATAATTCCCATTACTTTCACTCTTCAGAGGCATAACCATTTTTAAACCAACCCCTATCTTCCTGCAATCCACCATGAATGCTGAGAGGTTTCATGCCAACAAGAAAGCAAGGAGCTGTACCATTCAGAAGATGTCAGAAACCACTGTAAACACTGTAGCTTTTCAAACATTCTTTTTCTAGGAGTGCCATCTTGATGCTTCTCCAGCGCAGGACGTGGCACAGAGAAGTTGTCATGGTGAATTTGCTGCCTTGAAATCCTATTTCTAGCTTATATTACAATTCTGTTGATGATAGAATCATCACAGAATCGTTTGAGTTGGAAGGGACCCATGAGGCCATCTAGTCTAACCACCTTGCGATGAGCAGGGACAGCTCCAGCAGCTGCTCAGAGCCCCTGTTCAGCCTGACCTTCGGTGTCTCCAGGGATGGAGCATCCACCATCTCTCTGGGCAACCTGTGCCAGTGTTTCACTCTGTTAAAGTGTCTGTCCCCTTTTTTCTTATAGCCTCCCTTTAGATACTTAAGTTCCATATGGTGTTTTGAGTATTTTGAAATGTGAATGTAATCTAATTGATTTCAATGAGGCTATTTGTTGGTTGAATGCAGACAGGAATCATATCTTGTTAACTAAAGATTGATTCAATTAGTATTATTTCTTGAGCATTAGGAAGCAGATATTAGCCAGATTTGTTTACAAAAGCAGAAATACTGAAAACTGCTTGAAGTTTCAGTTCCATACAGTTCCTGAATGCATTTACTGTCAGAAACAAAGGATCTGCTGGGCTTCAGAGGATCTGGTCTCTGTGGCATGGAGATAAACCTTAACAGAAATATTGGCAGTAACACATCCTTAAGGATCTTTCTATTTGGCTGTGAGTATGTATGTGTTTTATATGGCTGTCTGGTGAAGTTCCAGGTGACTGAAAAAGGGAAATGTTACTCCCATTTTTAAGAAAGGGAGAAAGGAAGACTCAGGGAGCTACAGGCCAGTGAGCCTCACCTCTGTGCTTGGGAAGATCATGGAGCAGATCCTTCTAGAAGTTATGTTAAGGCACATACAAGATAAAAAAAATGATTAGAGACAGCCAGCATGGTTTCACTAAGTGAAGATCATGCCTGACTAATCAGGTGGCCTTCTATGGTGGAGTGATGGCTTTGACAGACAGGGGAAGGGCAGTGGATGGCAAGGCCTTTGACATGGTCCCTCACCACCATCCTTCTCTCTAAATTGGAGAGGTGTGGATTTGAAGGATGGACTGTTCGATGGATTAGGAATTGGCTGGCTGGTCGCAGCCAAAGGCTTGTGATCAATGGGTCTGTGTCAGGGTGGAGGCCGGTCACAAGTGGTGTCCGTCAGGGGTCGGTCTTGGGACTGGTGCTCTTCAACATCTTCATCACTGACAAAGACGATGGCATCAAGTGCACCTTCAGCAAATTTGCAGATGACACCAAGCTGTGCAGTGCAGTTGATGCACTGGAAGGAAGGGAATCCATCCAGGAGGACTGGACAGCCTGGAGAAGTGGGCCCATGTTAACGTAATGAGATTCAATAAGGTCAAGTGCAGGGTCTGCACTTGGGTTGAGGAAATCCCAGGTATTTATACAAACATGGGAAGATCTCCTTGAGAGTAGCACTGTGGAGAAGGACTTGGGGGTCCTGGTAGATGAGAAGCTGTACATGAGCCAGCGGTGCGTGCTTGCAACCCAAAAGGCCAACTGTGTTCTGGGTTGCATTAAAAAGGGCTGGCCAGCAGGGAGAGGGAGGTGATCATCCACTTCTACTCGGCTTGTGAGACTCCATCTGCAGCACTGCATCCAGGCCTGGGGCCCCCAGTACAGGAAGGACATGGAGCTCTTGGAGTGGGTCCAGAGGAGGGCACTGAGATGATCAGAGGCTGGAACACTTCTCCTATGAGGAAAGGCTGAAGAAACTGGGCTTGTTTAGCTTGGAGAAGAGAAGGCTCCAGGGAGACCTCATTGTGGCCTTCCAGTACTTGGAGGGAGTGTATAAACAGGAGAGGGAATGGTTGTTTAAGAGGATGGACAGTGATAGGACAAGGGGGAATGGTCTTAAACTGAGACACGGGAGGATTAGGTTAGATCTTAGGAGGAAGTTTTTCACCAGAGGATGGTGAGGCACTGAAACAGGTTGTTGTGGATGCCCCATCCCTGGAGGCATCCAAGGCCAGGCTGGATGTGGCTCTGGACAGCCTGGTCTGCTGGTTGGTGACTCTGTACATAGCAGGGGTTGGAACTAGATGATCATTGTGGTCTTTTTCAACCCAGGCCATTCTATGATTCTATGATTCTATGATTCTATGATTCTATATGATTCTATGATTCTATATGATTCTATGATTCTATGATTCTATGATTCTATTTCAAATGCCTGTTGTAAATGGTATTAAAGCAGCCAGCTGGTTTAGTGCACACTTTAAAATATAACCATTTTGAAAGGAAATTTCAGCAGGGGAAGAAAAGAAAGCTATTTCTGAGGCACAGAGCTGAATGAACGCTTGATATTTTTGGGATAATGTTCTTGACTTAATGTGAAAACGATAATGGAAAAAGTGTCCTTTTTGCTGTCAGTGGACAAAAATTGTGGGGAAAGGCCCTGGATGTGAGCATCTGCATGCAGAAAGCTTCCTGCTTTTGTAATTACACAAAATGACATCCAGCTTGTAGAGATCAGCGCCTGCAGGCTGCTCGGTGGGCAGCACCGCTCTGCTCAGGCACCGCAGCCCGTCCTCGTGGCCATCAGCAGCTGGAACTCCGCTCTGCTGCCGCATCTGCAGCTGCCGCCGGATATTTCCTCAGGGAGGAGGGACCCGGCGCCACTGAGGGAAGGGGGTGAGAGTCGGTGGTCGGGAGGAGGGATTGATTGTTCCCGCCTCCGGCGGCTCTGCCCTCTCCGGTGTCCGCGGAGGCGGGAGGCGGTGATGCCGTGGTGCCATTGCCGCAGGCTGAGCTTCGCGATGTCGTGAGTGGCGAGGTCAGCTTCTCCGGGTGACCTGCGCTCGGAGTGTGGGGCACCAAAGCCCCGGGAGGAAGCTGCGCACGGAGAGGGCGGCCGAGGGGCGGTAACGCCGTGAGGCGCGGTGCCCTGAGGCAGGCAGGCAGGCAGGCAGGCAGGCGGGCGGGCGGGCTCCCGTCAGCCCTGAGGGGTGAGAGCGCCTCGGTGGCGGGAAGGTAAGAGAACCAAGGAGGGAGGCGGCTTCCTTCACGGGGAAACTTTGCTCAGAGAGCTGGGCGGCGAGGGGCTGTCCTCTAGGGAGGGAACCACCTGAGGGGATGATAGAGGAAACCTATTGCCTGCTGCAGGGGGAGCGCTCCTCAGGCAGCAGAAACATCAGCGTTGTGTCTCGTGGTGCTTCTCCACAGCGTGGACATCTGCATCATTTGTAAATAATCTCCTGGATTCCAGATCGTGGTATTAAATCAGCGATCCTTCTTTATCTCTGCCACGCATGCAGGACAAACAGCAACGCGATCTGTGATAGAGTTATTAATTTGGATTTTGTATAATTTGGAAATCATTAAAAGATCATTTATTAATACTTGAATATTTCTTTAACCTTCAGACTGTATCTGCAAGAGTAGAACTTACTTTTCTGAACATGGAAAACACATATTCTCCATCATTTGTATCTGTACCGTCAGATGACAATGAATTCTACCTTTATCCAAAGTGTGTTAAAATAGAAAGTCATCTGAAAAGCATGAAGAAAGAGGAGCAGCAAAAGTTGGAACAAAGTATACACTGTGGGAACATCCATCAAACACCACCAAATGAACCTATATATTTATCAGAAATAAAAAGCAGCTGGGTATTAGAAAGTGAAAGATGTGACAGAGACAAAAAACCTTGCATAAGAGAATCCTTCCATTCTCAAGCTTTTAATAGTGAAAGATCACTATGTAGAGTACTAGAAAAAAAACTGCCCATCAAAAATTGGAAACCTGAAAATGAAAGTCAAAATTCTATAGAAGATGACATTTCATTAAATACATATAGACAGCATGGTGAAACAGAATTGCACAATCTGTGGAATTCTGCTAGCACAGGTAAAAACCTACATGTACTAAATCCCATCCTACTGCATCAGAACAACATGGAACAGAATGAAATAGAAGCTGACAATGAACTTAAACAAAAGTCTTCCGATACACCTGCAAACAGGAACTTGTTTCAGAGGTGGAGGCAATATCAGCTTCCACAAGTTCCATTTTCATGTGGTACTTGTTCTATGCATTCTTGTGTAGAAAATGAGAAAAATGTTTTTCTGGAAAAAGTATGCAGTACAGAAAGCAAAGATTATGACCGTAATGATCGTGCAACTACTACAGAAGGAGATAATAATAATTCATCATCTATCGTTCCAACACCAAAACCTTTTAAAAGCATACAACCATTGGAAATTCCTAAGTTCTTGATGAAAGAGAACACGTCTCAATTTTCTATCATCTCAAATAGAATAAATAGAGAAGGGCCATCAGCTAACTTGAAGGAGATTGTTGGGAAGATGCTAGAAGGCCAACCAACTTTGATGCAATCTAAACAGATACAAGGTATGCAAAAAATGTCTGAGGTAGGGAACCAGAAATTGCGGAGTGATAAAAACATTGTGAAAGCTTCATCTGTTTGTTCTGAATTTGAAGAAAAGAATTATCAATCAACTAACAAACAAAAGCACAGTGCTGTGGGAGAAAGAGAAAAACTGCCTGTAACTTACATCAGGGACAGCAGCACTGATCCAGAATGTAATCAAATATTTGCTGAAAGTGATTTTAAAGTGCTGGAGAATTCAGATGATGATGATGGTCAGAAGTCAAGGGTTCACATTTGCATTAGTGCTAAAAAAGTTCAGAGCAAGAAAATTATCACTGTTATGGATATTTTGAGGAGAATGAGGAGGAAGAGCAGCCATGAGAACATGACAACATTTCATACACAGACAAGCAGTTCAGTGATTACAGAAGCATTAGAGAAAAATAAGTTAGACCTACACTATGGTCTGCATGATTCCAACAGTGATATTAGTTTGCAAGAAGCAGAATCAAAACTATTTACAAATGAAATACCTGATATCAAAAGATACTTAACTGAAAACACTATATTTGAAAGCAGTTGTACTCCCGTTGTTGCACACAATTTTCCAGATATAAAAGTGAGTTTTGGTGTAATGAGGGAAAAGAAAACATTCAAAATAAAGTTTTCATTTCAAAACTTTTTATTTGGAGCGCTCAGGACACAGACCAAATTGTTAGCTGAAGTTATGCTTATGTGTCAGGCTGAAGATATTAGGCACTGGTTTGATATTTGTGTAGCATTAAATGAGCAATGTTGCACTCGAGGGTTAGTAAAGAGCAATATTGGTGCAAGCCACAGGAATAAAGCACGCATTTATTTGCTGGCTATTATTTTAAAGCATCTGAAGGTGAAACTACATAAGAAAATTCTTACTTTCATTTTCAGTAGGAAGAATGCATTATTAATAAGTGAAGAGAAATTGGTGAGAGTGGAGAAACGTGCTTCGTATGGCAGAAAGCAAATGCAGTTAAATTCATGCACAGAGAGTAATCGGAGGCAAAACACAGATTATTATAAAAAATACGAAATTTATCTGGGCACCACAAGTTCTAAATTTGTGGATAGCATTAATTTTGACTTGCATAATGAACTCCAGAAAATATATTTTTCTAGATCTTCAGGTAATGAAAATTCCACTTCCCTAACCAGAAGTATCTTTCATAACCAAAGCAGTGGATCATCTAAGGGAAGATTTGTCGGAAAGCACCACCTCTTGTCCAGAAGGAGTGAAAGATTCCACAGCACATGCTTGGAGTCTGTCAGCCATAGAAAGGACATGAAAAAACAAATGTTGGTTGCTAAATGCCTGATTTTGTTGAAGGACAATTGTGACCGTTCTTCACTAGAGAAGATGCATTACTACAATATAAAAAAAATACAGTACCTGACAAGAGTAAATCTTAGATTTTTGAGTTACCTTCCTGCCTACTCACAACTGAGGTTTGAAAAGGTAAATAATAAATGTTCAAATCAGCAAATACCCATAACTACCATAAAATGGACAAAGAACAAACCAAGGAAAATGTTCAACAGTTATTTTCATAGAGAAAGACTTAGAGCTTTACCCCTTCATTTAAGAGACAGTAAAGAACACAAAACAAGTAAATACAGAAATTGTGTAAAGACGACAAAGGAAATTATATATAAGATGAAAAAATGCTCAGGTATTTTTAATTGCATAAAGACTGACAGGAAGGAGAATTTCAAATCCAAAGAGCTGCAAATAAATTCTCATTATTTTCTTTCAAAAAAATCGCTTCCTCTTTTTGACACATACAAAAAAATTCCCCTTAATAGTGATCCTGAAGACTTTGACCAGATCTCACTTGTAAATCAAGATAATTCTGTCAAAAAACTGTCAACTGTACAAAACACAGTCACTAGTTCAGAAAACATTCGTAATTTGTCTGATAAAAGTAAAGCTGTTTTAATATTACCTGAGCTGTCAAAAACAACTATGGAAAAATGCAGCTCTCTCTTGTTACAAGACAGCCAAACAAGCAAACCTGAATGTTGCAAAGCAGTAGATGCATATACCCTACATTTAGTTAATGAAAAGGAGTTTGTAGAATTTCCAAATACTTACTTAAATTCTAGAAATATATTCCCTAGTTCCTTAAGTGGTTATCTGTATATCACTTCACTGTTACCTAAAAACTCTTCTGTCAATAAAGATGGAGAAGATGTAGGAGAAGACACACGTCGTAGGATTTCATTAAATGCAAACAAACAAAAACAAATTGAAAAAAATTGTGCCACTATGTCTTATTTATGCACAAGAAGTCCTACTGTAACATACACATACTTGCAATTAAAGGCCAGTGAAACAGTGTGTTTTTCTTTACAAGGGCATACTGAGACAAATAAGGCAGTCAGCTTAGACCCAGCAACTTTGAAACACCATCTTGAATATGTAAAAGAACAAGAAGAGATAAGTGATGAACAAATGCATGTAACTAATGAAAGTCAATGCGAGACTGTAATGAATGACTTGATTATGTCACATTCAGAAGATGAAGCTAAAACATTCATTGCTGGAAAGGAGAAATTAAAAATGCATTTATCTTTAATGAACAATGGATATCTTGGAGATGTAAAAGATGAATATTTACCTTCAGAAAACAAAATCACATATGAATTTGAACTGAAAAGAAAATTTGATTTAGTGCTGGAAGAGCTACATATGTTTCATGAAATTAGCAAGGAGGATGAAAACAATTTATCTAGTGTGGAAACAAACTCTCACAACAATTATAGTGAATTAATTAGTTCTGATGGTATAGAAGAAAATATAGAAAGTGTTTCTGAAAAGAAAACATATATTTCTTCTCCAGTCTGTGATATTATAAAAGATGAAAATATGACTGTGAGTAATGGAAGGCTATTAAATGAAAAAATCTCACTTGAAAATGAAAATATGGAAGCATCTAAGGAGTACTGTATGTCAAGACTGCCAAGTGAAGAGTTGCTACATTCACCTATTGCAGAAGGTAAGTACATGAAATTGCTGTCAATAAGCATATATAATTGTATATATTGCAAATTTAGATATATTTTTCTTTAAAATTGCATTTCTCAACTCAGAAAGTACCGTAACTATAGCTGAGTTTTCACTGAACTGTACAATGTTTGTGAGGCCAAAGGAATTTCCCTATGGGTAGTCAAATGTGAAACAGACATGCTGCTAGTGCTGTTGTACACTCTAGTAGCAGTCGTAGCTCAGAATTCAGTCTTATTCCATAACAGATTGTTTCTATTTTTTTGTTAAATTTTGTCATAATAAGCCCTAAATTCCCCCCAAAACATCACAAAGTCAGTAAGATGCACATTTGGAGAGAGAACAGACTCAATTAGTACATGATTTAATGGATGGACCACTCCCTGGATAAGGAAAAAATGGATTTGCTGGATGGACCATTCCCTGGGTAAGCAATTGGCTGGATGGTTGCACTCAGAGAGCTGTGATCAACAGCTCAGTGCCAAGTGAAGATCTGTGATGAGTTGTGTTCCTCGGGGATCAGTGTTGGGACCAGTGTTATTTAACATCTTTGTAGGTGACACGGACAGTGGGATGGAATGCACTCTCAGCAAGTTTGCACATGACACCAAGCTGAGCAGTGCATGTGACACGCTAGAGGGCAGACATGCTATCCAGAGTGATCTGGGCAGGCTGGAGAGGTGGGCCCATATTAACCTCACGAAGGCCAAGTGCAAGGTCCTGCACCTCGGTCAGGGCAGTCCCAGCCACAGATACAGGCTGGGTGGAGAATGGCTTGAGAGCAGCCCTGAGGAGAAGGATTTGGAGATATTGGCAGATGAAAGATTCAGCATGAGCTGGTAATGTGTGTTTGCAGCCCAGAAGGCCAACCGTATCCTGAGTTGCATCAAGAGAATTGTGACTAGCAGGTCGAAGGAGGTGATTCTGTCCCTCTACTCTGCTCTTGTGAGACTCCACCTGGAGTACTTACTGTGTTTAGTGCTGGTAGCCCAAACACAAGAAGGACATGGAGTTGTTGGAGGAGGTCCAGAGGAGGCCGATCAAAAGGCTGGAGAATCTCCCCTGTGAGGACAGGCTGAAAGCTGGGGCCCTTCAGCCTAGAGAAGGCCCTAAGGAGACCTCGTAGCTGCTTTCCAGTATCTGAAGGGGCCTACAGGAAAGCTGGGGAGGGACTTTTTATAAAGGCATGAGGTGACAGGATGAAGGGAAATGGCTTCAAACTGGAAGTGGGCAGATTTATACTAAATAGTAGGAAGAAATTCTTTACTGTAGTGGTGGTGAGACACTGGAACAGGTTGATTTGACCAAAGAGGTTGAGGATACTCCCTCCCTGGAACCATTCAAGTCCGGCTGGAGGGGACTGTGAGCAACCTGGTTTAGAGGGAGGTGTCCTGCCTATAGCACGGGGTTGGAACTGCATGATCTTAAAGGTACCTTCCAACTCAAACCACTGTATGATTCTATGATAGTTATAAACAATATGAACAAGGATATAAAGGAAAGATATAAAGGAACTGTCATAGAACAAATGCATTGTACTGAAAACTTTCACACTGTCACAAATCAACTTTAACTTTTCAAAATGAACACTGCATAATATTCAGAATTTTCTTTTGTCTGAGGAAATGGAGGAGTAGAATGCTAATGAAATGGAGTAGAATATTAAATCATAAAGATCTTTTGGAGCTAAGTGATCAGTAGTGTGACTCACATGTTATCTTTTTGTTTAAGACCTGGAAATACATAAAAACTAGTCCTGCAACATGAACATGCATTTGCATCGGCCAGTGAACATTGAACATACTAATATATTTAATTTACCCAAAATTACTTTGGCAAAATAGTTTCAGATAAATTCAAGCAAAATTAATAAAGCATTGTTTTTTTTTTCTCTCTAAAATATATATTAGTTATAGATTTCAAGCTCAGAAAATGGAATTAGGTTTCTGAATATAGCCTGCACTCAGTTTTTCCAAAGACATTTCCATAAGCAGTTCCTCACCTATTGCTTGTGTAGCATCTTCTATTAAATGGCATTTTTCCATCCAGCTCCATGATGGGAGCTGTCTCACTCCAATTTATAGGAGGGAGATGAGGTTCTTTTAATATCTGTATACCCAGCGTGAAATTAAGAAACAACGGTTCATATGTTAGTCCCAACCAGTTTATTACAAATCTTAATCAGGGAGACGGGGAAGGGAAGGAGGGTGATAGAATAGATAGGGAAGAAACAAGAGTTGCATAAAGCGGGGAGAGTCACCACCAGGATCCAGCAGTGTCCTGTTGCACGGCGTTTGAAGGTTTGAGGCAGAAACAGTGGGGGGGAAAGGGGTGGAAGCGTGGCTGCCCTTGGGCAGCAAGCAGGTAGCAGGAGGCAGTCGCAGAGCCAATCCGGGAGGAAGCAGCAGTGCTCAGGCAGCAGGCCCAGGAGAGTACGTCAGCATGCAGGCATCACTTCGTGAGGAACCTGTTGTCAGAAATCCTTGTTCTTCTTCATGAGGAATCTGTTGCCAGAAAACCTCTGTTCTTTTACATGAGGAATCTGTTGCCAGAAAACCTCTGTTTTTCTTCATGAGGAATCTGTTGCCAGAAAACCCATCCTCATAGTTTTCGATTCCTCTTTTATCCTACTTGTTCTCCTGCCTACCTGACAAGGATGGGCCTTGAGCAAGCGTCATAGAGTACTGAGATGGCCATCATCCTGAGGTAAGTCCACACAAAAGAGTACTTCACAGCTATTAAGCTGCAGCTCATCTCTCCTTGCCCCTGGCCTTGTCCATCTGTGTCTCCCAAACAAAGGATTTCACAACCCTTGCCCAGGCCTTGTCCATCAAAGTTCTCCAAGCAAAGGATTTCTCAACCTCTGCCCAGAACTTGCCTGGACTTAAACAAGTCCATCTGTGTCCCCAGCAAGCTTTGAGACACTGATGTTAACAGAATAATATCTTACAGGAGCATATGCATATCACTTAAGATTCTGGCTTCCAAGATAGACATTTATGAAACTGCACAGGTTTTGTGAAGGTAATTACTGTTCACAAAACAATTAGAAGAGCGTCATAGAAAAGCTCAGGAGAGCATTCTGTTCAGTGAAATTTTAACAGTATAATATGCTGCAAGTTGTGCCTGCATCCCTTGTCCCGGAGGATGAAAACCTAACTGGATACTACATTAATTGTTCACTAAGTGATCACTTTTCTAAGTCTGGAATGAGAAGGTCTGAGTGAAGAAAATAAGTCAACAGGACTGAAGACTGCATCACTGTATCTACACAAATGTGTTAATGAGCTTTTGTCAGGCCTTTGAGAGCAAAACTTTGAAGCTTCACAAATATTTCTTGTAATACACAGATGTAGGTTTTACTTACGTTCACAGATTAATAAATTGATTAAACAAATGTCATTATTTGTTTTTAAAATTAGTTAAAATCTTAACTGTTTTTTATACTTCTCTTTTAAGGCTATCTTTGTTCCATTTACAAAAAGCCATACACGTGGGACCCTGCTTTTTTATCTGGCACACTTCTGAAGGAAGAAAATTATAATTTACAGAAAGAAGGAGGTAAGAGTATTATTTTTATGTTATTTATACCACAAATGCCAGTGCCAATAAACTTCTTTCTGAAACACATATTTATTTATTGCTTGTGGCAAGAAATATGCATAGCTTATGTATATGGGTATAGCAATCTTTATGTTTGTTTGTTTGTTCAAAATGATATTTCACTGGAAATCTGTCCTACCTTTACTTTGGTCATGCAGCAGATGGTGTTAGAGCTTGCTAGGTCAAACGTAGCTCTTGCAAAAAAGCAGCAGATCAATTTCCCTTTTGTCATCCTCCATTGCTTTGGGCCACAGCACCAAGGACAGAGAAGAGCGTACAATTTCTTTATTGTAATTAGCAGCAATTATTTCCTACACATCACTTCCTAGTCTTTTTATAGTTCTCACCTAAGCTTCTCTAGGTCTGTAATCAAACCTTAACAATGATTGATTTCCTTTTGCGTTCATGATTGGTGAGGATCATCTTTTCCAGTCATGTGGATTTCTCAGATGTCCCACCCACTACTTTATTTCCAGAACTGGTCAGAATCAATAGGCACTTCTAGTGGAAGAATGTGAAAAAATTTCTTGTTCAATTCATCTTTTATTTTTCAGCTGATAGAAAGTATGCTGTTGAGTATCTTCTTTCCTTGAGGAGGCATTTTATTTCTTTGCTCTCATCTATGGTTAGCAGGGAGAATTTTATTCCACTTATGCTGAACACTGTCATTGATTATTCTGAAGACCATATCTGTTTTTATCAGAGGGATTACTAACTGTATTGATAGGAGCCAATGCCAGAAGTTCTACAAATGCGTGTCCCCAACTTTTCAATAGGATTTTGAGCCATCATATGTGCTCCTACATGATTTAATTTGGTTTCAGATTTAGGATATGAATACTGTTTCAGCTATAGCATTCAAGCCTGTTATTTTAGCCACCAAAGCTACCAAAGCTACCAAAACTTTGTGCCATAATTGAGCATGTTGCTCCCACAGTTAGAAGGAAGACTGGTAAGGACAGGTTTAATACTTTATGATATCAATAATTCCTTTGTTTTACATCCCATTGATTCATCATATAAAGTGACTGTTGCCTCAAGCTGTGACTGTCTGGAAAGGGAATACCAAGATGGGACAAGCAGATTTATCATCAGCAGTATTACAATTCATCTTAATTTCAGAACTGCTATGCTTTACAGGTCGCCCATAATACTTGTTTGACTTCTATTGCATGCTATTCTTCCAGCAGATTCTTACAAGTCTTATAAAAGATACAGCAGCAATACTATCTCATCACTGACTTAACAATGGAGGGTTTTTTTTTCTCCTGTCAGTAGGATTCCATTTGGGTGCCTAAGACTCTGATGGGTTCACTATTTATTTGATATCCTAGCTAATTACTCATTGCTTCTTCTTTTCATAGAATCATGAAAACTAGAACTGGAAAGGATCTTGAAATTTGACACTTTCTTATTTGTGAGATTGTTATTTCTTTCAGATGCTTTATTATCCTAGTTTCTAGTTGAAACGTCATTGTCTTTCATTCTATCCCACTGAGTACACTACTGTATGTAAAACAAAATAGCTACTCAAAGATGACTTAATCATTCTCTAGATTATCAGATGCTATATAGCTTATCTATAGACTACCGAGCAGAAAATCTAAATTCTCCTTTTTTACTTTGTGAAAAATGACACGAGGTGAAGTGTTATGGTTATTATCACCAGTGGAGTGATGCCTCACTCTGATTTGTTGTTGCACATCTAAATCCCTCAGACTAGTGGTAAGTTTTAAAGCAGAATTCTCTGTGTGTTCCTCCACTCTCAGAATGCTGACTGATATGAACCGTACGGGACTTACCAGCATGTTAGGAAAGTTTTGTAATATTATGTTGAGGTCCTTCTAATTAGAAAGGATCTATGTGTGACGCAACTGCTAGCATTTCAATTTCAGCCTAAAAGAATACGTTAGGGACCCTACAGCATAACAAAATGGAGATGGGACAGGACTAAGAAGCTGCAGTGTAAAATGAAATTACGTATCTTGACTGTATATATTTCTGGTGCAATATGGAGTGGAACTCTGGTTTTACTTTCACATTTTTGTTTGTTTGTTTGTTTGTTTGTAGGATACTTAGGAAACTTTCTGTCACATGAAGTTACAAGAGTACAGCCTCTTAAAACATGCAAGAGACCCATCAGAATTGGTCTGTCAAAAAAAGCCAGGCCCCAAAAACTTCATCCTTATTTGAAATGACTTGCTGGAATCTCTTACCAGTCCTGAAATAGAAGTCTGCATGAAAATTGTTGAAATGTTTTTATGCTAAGTTTGTATGTTGTGAGTTTGATCTTTATGGTTTATATATATTTTAGGTATTAATATTTGCTAGTAATTTATTTATTTATGAATACTCCTGTGAATATTTGATAGCAAATAAATTTATGATGAATGTTTTCTAGTAGAAATGTTATTGGAAAGATGAGCCTTTTAAAGTTCATGCAATATTAATAAAATTTGACATGCATTTCTCATCTATTAGAATATACTGTTGAAATTTTCTGTCTTACACATCATTGAGATCCTCTGCCTGTTTAAACAGTTTTAAAAACTCAGTATTTTCTAAAGTTATTTGTTACAAATGTTTATGGAAGTGTAAGGGACAGTCCAAGAAGTTGAATTTAGATTACTAAATTGGAGGGTTATGGCTTAGGCTTCAGATTAAGTTTCGTTTGGTGTACTTTCAGTTCCATGTACTTTTTAGGTTAGACACAGAAAATTTTTCAGTTGCAGTGTGGAGCTCAAAAGGAGGAGAAGCATAAACGTGATAGACATTCAGGACAGAATAACAGAATAATAGAATTGGGTTGGAAGGCACCTTAAAGATCATCTAATTCCTACTTCCTTGTATTGGGCAGGGACACCTTCCACTAAATCAGGCTGCTCTCCACTAAATCAGGCTGCTCAAAGTCCCACGGGGCATCTAGAACTTCCCAGGGCAACCTTGCTATCCAGTGCCTTAATACCATTATAGTGAAGAATTTATTCCTAATATCTGATTTTTATCTACTCTCTTTTAGTTTAAAACTCTTACTCCTGGTTCTATAACTACAGTATCTGATAAAGTCCCTCTTCATCTTTTCTGTAAGTTCCCATTACATACTGAAAAGCCATTCTGAAGTCTCCTTGAAGCCTTTTCTTCTCTAGGCTAAATGATCCCAGTTCTCAGCCTGTTTTCAAAGGAGAGGTGCTCCAGCCATCTGGTCATCTCCTTCAGTAGAAGAAAGACACTGAGGCCATGGAGCATGTTCAGAGAAAGGCAGGTACACTGCAGAACATACTAAAAACAAAACATTGCCTTCTCAAACTTAAAAACTAAGCAAGCAACCAACAGATAAGCAAAATCAACATAACCACAAATCTACCAAATAAAAAGATACCCAATCAAGATCGCACAGACAAGAGAAAAATACAGCTGAGACATTATGTAAACTTCATGCTTTGCTGATCATTCAGCTGAAGATAGCTGCTAGCAGCATGCTTTCATCTTAAATAACAGAAAGGACTGGCACTGGGCATACCAGTCTGGCCTTCTGCCAGCTTTATCCTCCCTGTCCACTGTCAACTGGAAAAGCTCAGGTACACTGTTAGACCAGGCAAGTGTTCAGCTGTATAAATCAGCTCTTTGAATTGGCCTTGTTCCATTGGCTTCACTGGAGCTGTGTGAGTAATTGCCAAGGGAAGAGCCCGCCATATGCCTCAGCATATATTTAAAAAAACATATGAATAGATTTTGATTTTTTTCATTGCAGAAATGTTATCTGGCGACATTTTTTTGGAATTAACTAAGTTCAGTTAAGAATGCTGACTCTAACAGAAATGCAGATGTTGACGTGCCTTTATATCTTAATAGCAGAAAAAACATTTCTGGACCATTTTTATCAGCTACTAAAATGATGTATACAGCTACGGCTTATTTAATACAAAAGGATTCAATTATAGCCTAATGAAAAATTGAATTCTGTTGTATGTACAAGTACAGATGATTTTTTAATAAACAGAAACTGTTACTGAACTTGTTCACAAAGAAAAATCATCCTGTGTTGCTCCAGAAGTAATACCTCCTACTTATTTCCATGGAAAATACAACAGCTACAAAGAGCACGATAACATTATTTGATAAAGCAAATTCTCAGCTGCAAAAGACCAGTTTTCAGCATAGTCAGCATCATTTGCTATGCACTTCCAACAGAGATGAACAAGAGCCTGCACTTCTTGTTTGTAAAAATCTTCATGGTTGTCCAAAATGTGGCATGTTTTCACGTCATTGTCATCATTGCTGAGACACCCCAGCCATCACCTCTCTGCGCTCACATCCACTGTTTGGTCTGCATAAATGTTCAGCAAGCACTGAGGAATGTCAGTAAGTGCAGTTTTTTCCACATGAAGGAATTCAGTGACACACCTTCGCTTCATCTGCATTTCCATGTCAGACACCATTTTATCAGACTGACCCACTGCTGCCATCCGTCACACAGCAACAACAGGTAATGGGATATCGGTGGGAAAGTTCAACCTCAACAACCATATCACCAATATCTGCCTCTGACATTACAGGCCAACATAAAGAAGGAGGCATTATATTTGCAGCAGCTCTTATAGCTTTATCTTCAGGTGTGCCACGATCTTGAGCCCCTTATACTCTTTTGTAAAAGTCATTAAAGGAAATGCAGTTTGAGATTCTGATGAACAAGGAAAGACGTGTACTAAAACCTGAGCCACGCTGAAACGTACTACTCCGGGAATAACATTATAAATAGAACTAAGACCAAAACCAAACAAACATACAATCAACAGCAACAAAACGCAGCAAAATAACACATTCAAGCAATTACAGAATATTTACATAAGCAATCTCTTAACACAAATAAAACATTACTTTCAGAGCAGCTCTCATAAAATATGTAGTATAGTTAAGGTATGTAAGTATACTTCATCCTGTAAAACGGCCGCTCACATATGCTTGTACTGCCAGGAAGTGACGACATGAATGAAGTTTGACTATGAAGTGAGGAATAGGTTTCCCTGGTAAGAGAGGGCGTATAGAAGTCTGGTAAAAAGACATGATCAGACTTAAACTGAATGTCTGATTGCAACACTACGCATTTCATTTGAAAACTGGAATGCATTCGGGTTGAAAATGAGGTTGCAAATTGATGATCTTTTGGTAATCGTCAAACCTGTTCACAAGTTCCTTTATCAAAATGGAAACAGGAGCCTATTTTGTGCTACTCACAGAATTCTGTTTAGCCAATGAATCAAAATGCATAAAATCATTTGCCATCACTTCAGTTATCACAGCACTGCACTGTCCCAGTGTGTCCCAGTTTCAGTCCAGACAATGCTGATCACATACCATCATTTAGCTGTTGTGAGCAATGGGTGCATGGCCAAGGCCAGCCAGGGACAGAGATGCCACCATGATGGCATAGAGCAGGGAGCGGATACAAACCATGGGTTGGACAAGTCTGCTCTATTCTTTCAAAAATGATTGTGCTGGAGAAGAGACACACAAGAAAGACAAACAGTATCTTAAAGAAATTACAGAGAGAAACAACAGCAACAACCACAAATCTGTCAAACAGGAAAATAAGGCAAATTAAATAAAATACGCGCTCAAGAAGGGCCACAGAACAGCTGGAGTTTTGTTAGAAATACAGTTATGGCTGAGAATTTAAAACCTCAAAACTATACTTCGCCATCTCTATGTCCACAAATTCAATTCCGCCAGAGGTTCCTCTCTACCCAACTCACTAGTCTATCCAGGTCTCCCTCAATGGCATCTGGTGTGCCAGCTTGCTGAGAGTGGACTCTAACCCTTCATCCAACTTGATGAAGTTATTGAACAAGACCAGATCAGTATCGACTCCTCGGGAAAACTGCTAGTCACAAATACGCTCTGTGCCAGTGATTATAGAATCATAGAGGCATAGAATCATAGAATGGCTTGGGTTGGAAGAGACCCCCAAAATCACCGAGTCCCAACTTCACTGCCATGTTTCAAAATCCTGGAAGGCAGCAATGAGGTCTCCTTGCAGCCTTCTCTTCTCCAGGCTGAACAAGCCCAGCTCCCACAGCCCGTCTTTGAAGGGAAGGTGCTCCAGACCTCGGATCTTCTTCCTGGCCATCATCTGTACTCCCTGCAACAGCTCCTCCTATTTCCTGTACTGGAGGCAGCAGACCTGGAAGAAGTACTCCAGATGGAGCTTCACGAGGGCAGAGCAGAGAGGGACAAATCACCTCCCTGTCCCTGCTGGCCACCCGTCTTCTTCTGATGGAGCCCAGGATACCATTGGCCTTTTGAGCTGAAAGAGCACACTGCTGGCTCATGTTCAGTTTTTCATCCAGCAGGACCCACCCCCAGGTCCTTCTCTGCAGGGCTACTCTCAGGGAGTTCTTCTCCCAGTCCGTATGAGTATCTGGCATTACTCTGAACCAAGTGCAAATCCTTGCACTTTGCTACGTTAAATCTGGTCTACACGAGACCGCCTTTTGGGTTGGTAAAGGTCCCTCCGGATGGCATCCCTTCCTCCTAACGTGTCAATCGCACCACTCAGCTTGGTGGCATCAGCAAACTCACTGAGGGTGCATGTCGTAATTGAAGATGTTGGAAAGCACCAGTCCCAAGACAGACCCCTGGGGGATGCTGCTCATCCCCGGCCTCCACCTGGACATAGTGCCATTCAACACACCCTTCTGTCGACAGCCTTCCAACCGATTCCTCATCCACTGAACAGGGCACCCCTCAAATCCGTATCTCTCCAATTTAGAGATAAGGATGTAGTGGGGCACCAAAGGCCTCGCACAAGTCTAGGCAGATGACATCGGTCACCTTCCCTCTGTCCACCACTGTCACCACTCCATCATAGAAGGCCACCGGGTTGGTTGGTCAGACACGGCCTTCCCTCGGTAAAGCCATGCTGGCTGTCTCAGATCACCCACTCATCCCTCATGTGCTTTAACGCATCTTCCATGAGGATCTCCTCCTTGATCCTCCCAGTCCCAGAAGTGAGGCCCACCGGCATGCGGTTCCCCAGGTCCTCCTTCCTCCATTTCTTGTAAATGGGAGTGACATTTCCTTTTCTCCAGTCCCCGGGGACTTTGCCCAACAGCCACGACTTTAATGACAACCCTCTGAGCCCTAGCAGTCAGCTGGTTCTCTATCACCTTTATTGTCTGCTCACACTCCCACATTTAGCTTCTTTACAAGGATGCTATGGGAGACAGTGCCAAATGACCTGCTGACCTCAGGGTACACAACAGCCACTGCTCTCCCCTCGCCTACCCAACCAGTGACGACATCATGGAAGGCTACCAGGTTGGCAGAGCATGATTTTCTCTTGGTGAATTCATGGTGACTACTCCTGATAACCTTCTTTCCCTGCGACTGCTTGGAGATGACATCCACAACAAGTTGCTCCATCACCTTTCTGGGGACAGAGGTGAGGCTGACTGGCCTGCT